ATTTGTAAGCGAATCACAAGACATCACTTTTACCATGTAAACTCTGATATTTTATTGATCACTTTTTCTCTGCAGCTCTTCCGCTTAGACAACTAAACGACCTGAACAGCAATGAGTTAGAGCACGTACGTACAATTCACTTAAAAGTCATTAAATTATTACAGTTCTAAGCTTTCAAGTTTATTTCATATCCCTTCTAAAAGCATTGCTTTTACTAGGGTAGGAGATTGTAATGAACAAGATAAGAGTGATTCTGTAGCAACTATATTACAAACCTATAAAACAAATCTTTGTACAAACTGAAGATTTTCAATTCATCTTCGTCTTGGTATTCTACACTATATCAAACATCAGACTTCAACAAATCAAACCATAGCCATCTGCAGTAATTTCTATTAAATAAATATTTATTATTGTCTACACATTTGAATTATGACAGACTATAAGTGTTTACCTCCATAATACTGTTCTACAATCCTGAAATCCAAATCTCTAGAGTGAACGAAATAACTTGTCACCATGTATACAGCGAAATATAAAAGGACACAGTTTTCATCTATAAATCAATCGCGGGGAACAATTAATTTCTTGTCGAAAAACTGTTTCCGAAAACCGTCGGAGATTGGGATCAGCGTAGGACGTTGCCTAGCAACGAGATAACGTGATAACGCTCGATCTACTCAATGATTGTTCGTGTAGTTTCGGGACTGATTTACGCGAATCGGAATTTCTTCGGGCGACAAGACTGAAGCAACATCGTTGATGACAACCCAGGACACAAGAATATCACCCACACTATTAGAAAATAGAAGTTTCATGTAAGGCACATCAGAAAACAGAGCACCAAAACACGTGAATGGTACAAAGCCTGAGGAGTTCAGAGATCAATTACTGAGCTCAGTCAATTCTTGAAGACGAAACGTACTCGTTAGTTTTCACTTGACATAATATTATCACTACGTACACATGTCGAATGCATGACGCATCTCTTTTAACCACTATTGACTGACAGTGGCACTACTATGTTGTGGCAACTTCCACTTGTGATCTAGAATTCCTTGGTTGTGGTGGCAGTGATTGCCCTACAAAGATAAAGGAAAAATCTTTACGTTATTCAACAACGAATTTACCGCCCTCTCTTCCTGCCAGCAAGGACAAGAAGGAAAACAACTGAGTAGAATTTATTATCGCTCAAGGAGAGACGCCTGAGATTCCATGCTGATCACTTGTCAACAGGTCATTTACCTCGTGCCTCTGTTTCAAAACGAGTCCTAGTACAAACCTTTCATGTGAAAATGAGTTTAATTTGGATGAAAATGAACCTGTAGGTGGAACACATTTCCATATGAATGGTGTCCCACGAAGACTCGTTTTGACACAGAGCCAAACGGCAACTCAGAAATGGCCTATTAAGGGCCCATTAACCGATTCGTGCGCGCGCTCGCGCGCGTTGCTAAGGAGGTGAAATTTTACTTCCGGTCACTTACGTCAGCCTGAGCACGGAAAATAAAAACAACTCAAAAACTTGCAAATTCGTATACATTTTAGATGTTTTTCTTTGTGTTTCGCAAAATGCAAAGTAAAAGTACAGGCAAAGACAAATAAGAGAAAGACAGAAAAACAAGAGCAATAGAAAGAGAAAAACTAACTCCATGTGGTTTTGTTTGATCTTACCGAAGTGCGCTGATAGTGTAAGTTGTGCACGCGCTGATAGGATAACTTCCAATAGATATCGGATGCACTTCCGGTTTCTTTAAATGCTAGAGGAAACGCGGTTTTTCATTAAATCCAGCCTTTCTCGACGAATTTCGATTACAGCCAACGTTGGAAACATAGCTATGAATTCCTTTTTCGAAATCATTCTTTTTTCAGAAAATAACGAATTTTTCAATATTTTGAAATGCTCTCAAAATCTGACCTTTTAAAAATGAAACAAAATCGATGCGTAGCGTAATAAGGATTTAAATTCAAATATTAAATCAATGAAAAAAATCCCGATAAAGTAATTTGCCTAGGAGCCTTTGCGTTTTTTCTGTATTAGTCACATGACCATGGGCGTGGCCTGATGACGTCATCACTATTGTTACTGATCATGAAAAAGTTGAAACACATGAAATACCTCTGAACTAACTAAAAATGATGAGGTCATATGAGACTAAATTTTCCTTAGCAACGACTCGAAAAGATCGGTTAATGGGCCCTTAAGAGATCAGTGAAGGACCTGATGCTTCACTGCTTGAACCAATTAGAGACACTATACGTAGATGAAAC